AGCTGACTTGCAGCTGCCCTGTGGCCACAGGGTGCCACTTGCTGTGCGGGAGAGGGAGAGGGAGGCCCTTGGGGCCCAGCAACGGGAGTGGAGCAGGGTTTGCAGCAGACAGGCAGGTTTTGGTGGGGGGGAGGGAGAAGAGGGCTTTGAACAGCCGCGCATGTCTGAAGCAAACCCCCTCGGCAGGACCGGCACCGTGCGTATGGCCAGTGCCACAGCCCAGCCGCGCCGGGGGGCCTGCCACACACGGGATGGCAACATGGATTTCCTCCCGGTGCCCCCGGAAAGGCGGCTAGTTCCCCCTGGCGACGCCAGCCGTGCAGCTGGGGGTGCCACCTTGCAGCTGGCTCCTCAGCTTTCTCTGTATTTCCAGCCTGCACTTGTGGAACTACCCCCGGCACTTCTCTGCACCAGCGGGCCTGTCTCCCTTTGCCTGCTGCGACCTTTGGCCAGTGTGCGGCCTGGCTCCCTGAGGTCACAGGAGCGTTCGCGCTCTGCATAAACACGTCCCCATTGGCAGCCGGGAGGTGGGCCACCTTGCAGCTGGCTCCTCAGCTTTCTCTGTATTTCCAGCCTGCACTTGTGGAACTACCCCCGGCACTTCTCTGCACCAGCGGGCCTGTCTCCCTTTGCCTGCTGCGACCTTTGGCCAGTGTGCGGCCTGGCTCCCTGAGGTCACAGGAGCGTTCGCGCTCTGCATAAACACGTCCCCATTGGCAGCCGGGAGGTGGGTTTACCATGACCAGGCCAGGCTCCAAGGCAGCTTGGCAAAGCACTGGAATGTCTTGGCGCACAGCTGGCTGGAGACACCGTGAGCACAGCCTCTCCTGGTGTTCCAGAGCCAGGCGGGAGAGAATGCTGAACTGGCTTGCTCCCCTTCTACGCAGACTCCCCTCTGAAGGGGAGAGTTTCAGAGGCTCAGGGATCAAGTAGGCCCCTCACTTGTAGACGTGCCTTTGACAACCAGGCCCCGGAAGGCAAACCCCTGGTCCGCAGTTCTGTGAATGGCTTTTCTCACGCTTTGCATTTTTGGCTCCAGTCCCAGTGCAAAAGGGCACAGTGTTGTTTCAGACTTTTCCAAGGGTTCGAGTTTGGGCTGGTTGAATCATGAGCCGGAATTAGTGGTGGAGGCTTGTTTACCTGTCTCGTATGGAGATACTGTAGTATTGTGCCCCAAAGCTGGGTGTGTTCCCTATTAGCAGAGCAGCATGGCCACCCAGGAGAGGTTGAAATGCCACCCAGCAGGTTAGCCGAGCACCCGCAGAGCTCCCAGCCAGCAGGCTGCGTGTTCCCTGGTGGTGCACGTCTGCATGTGCCTCGATGCACAGAACAACATTTATTCTGCACACGGATGGAAAGAATTCGAGGGAACATTGAGTGGGACCCCCCTCTGGGGACTTGGGGGAAGCTGTGTGCCTGGGCCAGGCCATTTGGGGGCGGTGTTTGTGCATGAGGATCCCACAGACAGGGCTGTTCCCTTGGCATCCTAGCCCATGAGACACCCGACTGTTCGGTAAACGGGGAATGCTGACCTCCCGAGCGCAAGCCTCCTGTGGCTGGTGGGGTAGAGCCTTCTGCTCCCAGGGCAGCCCCACCGGCAGGGGGAGACCGCACCTCCCGGCCTCCCTGTCCTTATGCCCTCGGCCCTCGTCTGGCCGTTGGCCCGGCAGCCCGGGAGGTGAGGCAGCGGCGCAGAGCAGCCCACTTGGGAAGGGGCAGCCGGTGCAGCCGGCAGAGGGCTCGGATTGGTCCGGGGGGCGTTCCAGTTGACTGACGTGCTCCCCGGGCAGGGTCAGTGGCATGGAGGAGTGGCAGCACTGGCTGCCCTGTGGGAAGAGCCCCTGCTCCAGCAGGCAAGGGGGAGTGTGGCTGGGCGGGGGGTTGGGAAGCATCAGAGGAGGCTTGGCCGGGCTCCAGAGGGCTGCACGGATGAAGGGAAATGCCCCGTGATTTGTCAGCTTGGTTAATAAAAGATGAGCTGCTCCAGGAATTTGATCCCCTGCCGGGTAAGAGCATCGCAGGGAGGCTTTTATTCTCATTGCTAATGCATGAAGGCAGCACGGTGCGATGAAAGGAGGCTGCTGTTCAGAGCCAGAGCGAGCTTGGCCGGGCTCCAGAGGGCTGCACGGATGAAGGGAAATGCCCCGTGATTTGTCAGCTTGGTTAATAAAAGATGAGCTGCTCCAGGAATTTGATCCCCTGCCGGGTAAGAGCATCGCAGGGAGGCTTTTATTCTCATTGCTAATGCATGAAGGCAGCACGGTGCGATGAAAGGAGGCTGCTGTTCAGAGCCAGAGCGAGCCGAGAGGCGGCCCCGACCCCCGCCCCCCCACGGGAACAAGAGAAA